GAGCGGCGGGGACAAGAGGAGGGCCCGGGGGCGTCATGGTGGAGGGCACAGACGAGGCACGGGAGGGCATCTGACAGACAGGAGGAGGATGGGAGGGCATCTGACAAAACAAGAGCATCCACAATCCAAGAGCCCCAGTAGAAACGTACGAGAAAAAAAAAGTTTAAAAACGTGCCCTTGGGAAAAATTGGAAATATTTTAAAAATCTTCAATGAAATTCCAGCAAGAACTCCATAGAGAAAAGCTCCCAGCTCTGTCCTGGTTCAGGGTTTAATCCTGGTTTAGGTCAGGTTCAGTCTCTGGCTTAGTCCTGGTTTAGTCCTGATCAAGTCCTGGTTTAGTCCTGGTTCTGTGCATTGTGGTTCGTTTCGGTGGAAGTGTCTCCTCATCTTAAGCCTCGGAGGAGCAGACCTTTGTCCTCGCTCATTTTACTGGAATTTGTGTAAAAACAGGAAGTTATTCAAGATTTAGACAAATAAACATCGTCCACAAATCTACGAGACACGAACGACGAGGATGGTCCCGGTTTAGTTCCGGTTTAGACCTGGTTTAGACCTGGTTTAGTCCCGGTTTAGTCCTCATGTTGAGCAGAGAGATCCCTGGAATCTGCAACAAAACAAAACATTTTCTGTTTCCAAAAGTCGAAATCCACAAATGTTTGTTCCCCTGATCATTTCTGTCAGAGACAAACTCCAACCACAACACAACATCTGGGAGGGCATCTGACACACACCACAACATCTGCAGACTCACCAGAGACGTGTGACCTGGGCCCAACTCAGTCTGACACACGGGGACAGGAGGACGGGAGGGCATCTGACACACGGGATTTACGTTCTGATCAAATGTGGGACTCACCTCAGGTCTGTGCTGCTCCAAAACCAAACTCATGAAAAGAATCAAGACGATTTTAAACTTCAAATCCTCCAACAGAAAGTTCAGATCCAACACTTCAGTCCTGGTTTAGTCCTGGTTTGGTCCTGGTTGAGTCCTGGTTGAGTCCTGGTTTAGTTCTGGTTTAGACCTGGTTTAGACCTGGTTTAGTTCTGGTTTAGACCTGGTTTAGACCTGGTTTAGTTCTGGTTTAGTCCTGGTTTAGACCTGGTTTTACCTCCAGTCTCTGCTCCTGTGCGGTCAGTGTGTTGATGAGGGTTTAGTCCTGGTTGAGTCCTGGTTTGGTCCTGGTTGTGTCCTGGTTGAGTCCTGGTTTAGTTCTGGTTTAGACCTGGTTTAGTCCTGGTTTAGACCTGGTTTAGTTCTGGTTTAGTCCTGGTTTAGACCTGGTTTAGACCTGGTTTTACCTCCAGTCTCTGCTCCTGTGCGGTCAGTGTGTTGATGAGGGTTTAGTCCTGGTTTAGTCCTGGTTTAGTCCTGGTTTAGTCCTGGTTTAGTTCCCGTCTGAGTTCTGTTGCTCCAGTTCTTCGTGCAGAGGCTTGTCTTCATTCCTCCTCCGCTCCTCGGTCTGTTCCCTCAGCTCCACGCACTCCTCTTTTACTCTCTCTCTCTTTTACTCTCACTCTCTCCACTCCTCCTACTACTCTCTCTCTCCTCTCTCTCTTTTACACACTCTCTCTCTCCCTCTTTCTCCTCCTCCTACTCTCCCTTTTGCACTTTCTCTTTAACACTCTTTCTCTCTCTCCACTCCTCCTCTCTTTCCTCTATGCTCTCTCGTACACTCTCTTTTATTCTCTCTCTCCTCCTACACACTCTCTCCCTCTCTCTCTTTTACACTTTCTCTTTCATGCTCTCTCTTTAACACTCTTTCTCCTCCTCTCTCTCTCCAAGCCTCCTCCTCTCTCTCCTCTATGCTCTCTCTCCCTCTCTCTTTTATTCTCTCTCTCCTCTTACACGCTCGCTCTCCCTCTCTCCTTCCCCTCTCTCTTTTACACCCTCTCTCTCTTTTACGCTCTCTCTCTCTTTTACGCCCTCTCTCTCTTTTACACTCTTTCATTCTCTTTTACTCTCACTTTCTCCACTCCTCCTCCTACTCTCTCTCTTTTACACTTTCTCTTTCATGCTCTCTCTTTAACACTCTTTCTCCTCCTCTCTCCTCTTACACACTCACTCTCCCTCTCTCCTTCCCTCTCTCTCTCTTTTACGCTCTCTCTTTCCAGTGCTCCTCCTCTCTCGCCTCTACCCTGTCTTTTTTGCTTTTTCTCTCCTCCTCCCCCCTCTCTCTCTCTCCCTCTTTCTCCTACTCTCTCTTTTACACTTTCTCTTTCACGCTCTTTCTTTAACACTCTTTCTCCTCCTCTCTCTCTCTCTCTTTTATGCTCTCACTCCACTCCTCCTCCTCTCTCTCCTCTATGCTCTCTCTCCCTCTCTCTCTTACACTCTTTCTTTTATTCTCTCCCTCTCTCTCTTACACTCTTTCTCTCTCTTTCTCCTCCTCTCTCTTCTACACTCTTTTTTGCTTTCTCTCCTCCTCCTCTCTCTCCTAACTCTCTCTCCTCTCCTCCCTCTTTCTTTCTGTCTTGTTTTCATTAGGTCTTATCACACAAACATAAATATTTTTTTTTCTTTCTTGCATCTGTCGTTTCACTTCAGTAATTAACCCTTCAGCACAACTCCTCCTTCTCTTCTCCTCTTCCTTCTTCTCTTCTCCTTCTCTTCTTCCTCTTCTTCTTCCTCCTCTGAGCTCCACATTACAACAGAACTCGTGACCTACACAAACTCTGAGCTTTGAGTTGTTTAAAAACACAGTGGAGCACTTCCTGTCTCACCACACGATGACATCACGAGGTGGAGCAGAGTGTTTTCAGTGTGAGAGAAGAGCTCGTGTTAAATGTGCAGGTTTGTGAGTTAAACGTGTGACGGAAACACACGCGACCACAGCTCTCAGGACGGTGCGACGTGATTGGCCGACAGAGCGCGGTGATGTCATCCGAAGCGTGGCGGAGTAAAAGTCCCCGACCTGCTGCGGCGGTTTATTGGGGACGTAAATCAGACGGAGGAGGAGTTGTTGCTCGTCGGTGTCGTTCCCAGGAGCCGCCGACTCGTCCCGGAGCCGCAGCTGTTTCCCATCGTCATGGCGATTTAAAACGCCGACTCCATCTTCGCCCAGAATGACGGAATATTCCCCGAACGCCCAAAGATCGGGTTACGGCGCAGGTGCTCGTACACAGCTGCTGCTCAAGACGAGGAGAGGAGGAAGAGGAGGAGGAGGAGGAGAGGAGGAGGAGGAGGAGGAGGAGGAGAGGAGGAGGAGGAGGAGGAGGAGGAGGAGGAGGAGGAGGAGGAGGAGGAGGAGGAGGAGGAGGAGGAGGAGGAAGAGGAGGAGGAGGAGGAGGAGGAGGAGGAGGAGGAGGAGGAGGAGGAGGAGGAGGAGGAGGAGGAGGAGGAGGAGGAGGAGGAGGAGGAGGAGAGGAGGAGGAGGAGGAGGAGGAGGAGGAGGAGGAGGAGGAGGAGGAGGAGGAGGAGGAGGAGGAGGAGGAGGAGGAGGAGGAGAGGAGGAGGAGGAGGAGGAGGAGGAGGAGGAGGAGGAGGAGGAGGAGAGAGGAGGAGGAGGAGGAGGAGGAGGAGGAGGAGGAGAGAGAGAGAGAGAGGAGGAGAGGAGAGAGGAGGAGGAGGAGAGGAGGAGGAGGAGGAGGAGGAGGAGGAGGAGGAGGAGGAGAGGAGGAGGAGGAGAGGAGGAGGAAGAGGAGGAGGAGGAGAGATGTTACAGTTAAAATGATTCAGATTGTCGTTGTCTCAGAATCTCAGAAATGTCCAGATGACATTTGTTCTGAAAACCGTGGATCAGGACTGGGCGATATGTCCGTCCATCCATTCATCCGCTTTTCTTCCTCTTATCTGGGGTCGGGTCTCAGGGGCAGCAGGCTAAGCAGGGATTCCCAGACTTCACTCACCCCAGACACTTCCTCCAGCTCCTCCAGTGGGACCTGAGGTGTTCCCAGTCCAGTCCAGAGACATGGTCCCTCCAGTGTGTCCTGGGTCTTCCTCGGGGCCTCCTCCCGGTGGGACATGAACACCTCCTGAGGGACACGTCCAGGAGACATCAGAACAGACACCCGAGCCTCAGCTGCTCCTCTCCACGTGGAGGAGCAGCGGCTCTACTCTGAGCTCCTCACTCTGTCTCTAAGGGAGACGCCCAGCCACCCTGTGGAGGAAACTCATTTCGAGCTCTTGTATCCACGATCTCGTCCTTTGAGTCAGGCGATATGTTGATATTTAAAATATATTGAGGTATTTCTTAAACTCAAATGGATTCTGACATATCGTGTATGTATATATATATATATATATATATATATATATATATATATATATATATATATATATATATATATATATCGGTATAATGCTTGTACTTAATTCTGTTTTGCTGCGTCGCTCGTTTGCTCCTCCTCCTCGTTGCTTTTGTGACTCCGCCCCTCAAGTGTGTCTCACTGAACACGGCGGCGACACAGAACTCGTCTCAAAAAAAACACACCTGGCTCCATCATGTGGAGATACTTTGATACTCTGGTTTGAAGGTGTTGGACAAACAGTTGGACTCGTCTGTCCTGAAAGCACAAAGTCAGTCCCAAACAAAACTTCAATCTCCACAAACCTTCTCCTCCATTTACAGACTCACCATCAGCAGAACACCCCTCTGTCACAGAGAGAACACCCCTCTGTCACAGAGAGAACACCCCTCTGACACAGAGAGAACACCCCTCTCACAGAGAGACCCCTCTGAGAACACACAGAGAGAACACACAGAGAGAACACCCCTCTGACACAGAGAGAACACCCCTCTGTCACAGAGAGAACACCCCTCTCACAGAGAGACACACACAGAGAGAACACCCCTCTGAGAGAACACACACAGAGAGAACACCCCTCTGTCACAGAGAGAACACCCCTCTCACAGAGAGTGACACAGAGAGAACACAGACACAGAGAGAACACCCCTCTGTCACAGAGAGAACACCCCTCTGACACAGAGAGAACACCCCTCTGTCACAGAGAGAACACCCCTCTGACACAGAGAGAACACCCCTCTGACACAGACACAGAGAGAACACACCCCTCTGACACAGAGAGAACACCCCTCTGACACAGAGAGAACACACACCCCTCTGTCACAGAGAGAACACCCCTCTGTCACAGAGAGAACACACCCCTCTGACACACAGAGAGAACACCCCTCTGTCACAGAGAGAACACACCCCTCTGACACAGAGAGAACACCCCTCTGACACAGAGAGAACACCCCTCTGACACAGAGAGAACACACCCCTCTGTCACAGAGAGACACAGAGAGAACACCCCTCTGACACAGAGAGAAACACCCCTCTCACAGAGAGAACACCCCTCTGTCACACAGAGAGAACACCCCTCTGTCACAGAGAGAACACCCCTCTGTCACAGAGAGAACACCCCTCTGACACAGAGAGAACACCCCTCTGTGAACACACAGAGAGAACACCCCTCTGACACAGAGAGAACACCCCTCTGAGAGTCACACAGAGAGAACACCCCTCTGTCACAGAGAGAACACCCCTCTGACACACACCCCTCTGACACAGAGAGAACACCCCTCTGTCACACATCTGTCACAGAGAGAACACCCCTCTGACACAGAGAGAACACACCCCTCTGACACAGAGAGAACACCCCTCTGTCACAGAGAGAACACCCCTCTGTCACAGAGAGAACACCCCTCTGACACAGAGAGAACACCCCTCTGTCACAGAGAGAACACCCCTCTGACACAGAGAACAGTCACAGAGAGAACACCCCTCTCACAGAGAGAACACCCCTCTGACACAGAGAGAACACCCCTCTGTCACAGAGAGAACACCCCTCTGACACAGAGAGAACACCCCTCTGAACACACACAGAGAGAACACCCCTCTCACAGAGAGAACACACAGAGAGAACACCCCTCTGTCACAGAGAGAACACCCCTCTGTCACAGAGAGAACACCCCTCTGACACAGAGAGAACACCCCTCTGTCACAGAGAGAACACCCCTCTGACACAGAGAGAACACCCCTCTGTCACAGAGAGAACACTCATATTCCACTGAGTCTCTGTGTCTTTAGTCCAACACAAACTGAACCACATCAGACATAAGAAACAACAGTCTTTTTCACACACATTAGTTTATGTAAATGAGTCGTGTGGTTTAAGTTTAGTTTGAGTAAAACTTAAACAAACGTGTGAAAGTCTGATGAGGTTCATTTGGTCGTCTGATTATTTATGTTATTAGGTTCTTTTTTCAGACCAGAGGTTTGTTTTCATACCTGACAGTTTCGACTGCTCACGGCGCTCTTCCTCAGAGTCGTCACATGATGTTCCAAATACGGAAACGTGCCCACGACGATAAACTGGGACGAGGGGGCCTTTTTACTTTTTTACTTTTAACCGAGACACTTTTTCAAACAAAAGGATTTTAAAACTGGAAATTTGTCAAACTCACGTCAGGAATCAGAGGAGGAGGGAAAAGAGCAGAACCATTTAATAAATAAACTTTAACAAGTGTAAAATGTTTTAAATAAATAAGTTTTCACTCAGTGTGAAGTTTGAATCCAAACATCAGGAACAAACAACGAGACAGAAACACGACAGAACAGTGAACAAACACAAACAGAACACGCCTCGTCTGGACCTACTCCAGTCCTGTGCAAGTCCCAGCTCAGACCTGGTTCAGAGGTGTGGTAGTCCCGCTCCAGACCTGGTCCAGACCCGGTCCTGGTCCTGGTCCTCGTCCTGGTCTTCAGATCTCGGCTAAACAGCCCATCACTTTGAGCATGAGCTGATCTTTGGGCAGTTTCTGAACGTTCAAACCTCGAGCACGAAGCCACTGGAGCATCTTCACCGAGCTGACCCGCGACAGCTGAAGGACACAAGGACACAAGGGGTTAGGACGCAAGGAGACAAGGAGACAAAGGGTTAAGATGCAAGGAAACAAAGACACGAGAAGACAAGGAGTTAGGAGGGAGGAGACAAAAGAGAAACCACTGGAGCATCTTCACCGAGCTGACCCGCGACAGCTGAAGGACACAAGGACACAAGGGGTCAGGACACAAGGAGACAAGGGGTTAAGATGCAAGGAGGAGACAAGGAGACAAGGGGTTAGGACACAAGGAGATAAGGAGACCAGGGGTTAGGAGAGAGGCAACAAGGAGAGAAGAAAACGAGGGGTTAGGGCACAAGGAGACGAGGAGACAAAGAGACTTCAGTCCAGTCCTGGTTCAGTGGTTCAGTCCTGGCCCAGTCCTGGTCCAGTCCTGGTCCAGTCCTGGTCTGTGTGTGTGTCTGTGTGTGTGTCTGTGTGTGTGTCTGTGTGTGTCTGTGTGTGTCTGTGTGTGTCTGTGTGTGTCTGTGTGTGTGTGTGTGTCTGTGTGTGTGTCTGTGTGTGTGTGTGTCTGTGTGTGTCTGTGTGTGTCTGTGTGTGTCTGTGTGTGTCTGTGTGTGTCTGTGTGTGTGTCGGAGTCTCGTTCTCAGACGGATGGTGTTTTTCTTGAGCCGTCTGGAGTTTTTCCTGCTCGTTCTTCTCGTCTGCGGGGTGATTCATGTTTCTCTAACACTTCTTAGTCCTTTATAAATCTCAGATATGGTGTTTAATCTGAGATAAACCCACAGCAGACGCCAACAAACGCCTTTGAACGACTATGCAAAGAACCGACATCAATCTGCACAAGAATCTACCGTCAAACACCCGACGACGTTTAAGCAACATTTAGAGGAACATGAGCCGCGTGAGTCCGAGTCCGATCTGAGCCTCACTCAACGAAAAACTCTTTACTCGCACTTATAAATCCCCATTTTTAAGGCCAGGACCTGGTTTTACCTTCTTAAAAACATGAAAAAAATCTCTGGTTCATCTTAAACTGTTTGCAGAAGTGCACAGTTCTTCCTCAGAGCAGCAGCATTATTCACCCTCATGAGTTTAGATGAGATTTTCACTCACAGACCAGAGTTTTATCATCACAGTCAAATGTAAAATGTAAAACTATCTAATATATAATGTCACGTACATTGCAGAATGTAATGCATGTAATGTAAAGTATAATGTAAATAATAATGTAAAGTATAATGTAAATAATAATGTAAAGAATAATGTAAAGTATAATGTAAAGAAAAATGTAAAGTATAATATAAAGAAAAATGTAAAGAATAATGTAAAGAAAAATGTAAGGTATAATGTAAAAAATAAAAAAATTATGTAAAGTATAATGTAAAGTATAATGTAAAGAATAATGTTATATATGTAACATGTGAGGACATTTTTAGCTCTGTAACTGTATTTTTACTCGAGTAGAAATCCCCAGTACTCTCTCCACCCGTCCTGAACTTTCAAGTCTGTTCTAAAGTCTGTCATAAAGTCTGTCTTCTAGTCTGTCCTAAAGTCCTGGGACCTGGTTGTTTCTGGCCATCTTCTCCACGTCCACGTCTCTGGCGGCTCTGGCAGGTTTGGTCTTTTCTTCTCTCTAAAACAAACACAGTAAAACGATTTAACGAGATGTTGGACTTTACGAGGCTGCTCCTGTTCAGAACCATAAAAAAACATAACACAAAACTCACGACAAACCCACAACAAACCCACAAAACCCCAGAGCAGCCCACGGAAACTATGTGTGTCTGGAACACGCTCATACAACACTGACACAGAGAGGCCTCGAGAACTAAACCAGGACTGAACCAGGACTAAACCAGGACTAAACCAGGACTGACCCAAAACTGAACCAAAACTGAACCAGGACTGAACCAGGATTAAACCAGGTCTACAGCAGGTCTGATCCAGTCTTCCTCTGACCTGGAGGTTCTTGGTGGGTCTCTCTTCGGTGGAGGTCTTCAGAACAGACTTGGTCTTTAAAGCTTCTGGTCCCTAAAAACCAACAAACTGCGTGTTTTTTGATAGATAAATTTAATGTCACACCATGGAACATTCTAGACAAAGCAACAACATCTCCATGGAGACAAGCATGCAGCATACATCAGTATCGTATCGGTGTTTAGTCCAGTGAAAAAGCTCAGGCTCGTTCACCTTTCTGCTGGACTTGGACTTGGACTTGGACTCGGTCTTCTCCGTCTGCTCCAGGTTGAACGTCACGACAGGTTTGGACTTTTTCTCCGGGCGTTCCTCCTTCTCGTCCGGAATCACGATGAGCGCCGGTCTCATCCGTGTTTTGGGGCTGAACGTGGGGATGCGCTTCACGTTCAGGGACGTCTGCGCGCCCGTCGGGACCCTGGACGGGACGGCGGGCGGGACGGCGGGCGCGTGGGTGGACCTGTGGGAGTTCAGAGCGGGCGGGAGCGTGAGTCTTTCTACGTTCTGCTTCTTGGCCTTGAGCAGAGCCACGTTGACGAGCTGAGACGGGGGTTTGCTCCTAAAAATCGGCACAAATTTGGCTTTTTCCAGCAGGAACGGCGGAGGTGGAGGAGGAGGAGGAGGAGGAGGAAAGGAAGAACTGGCCTCGAAAACTGTGAAAAACGTGTTGATGGACGATGATGGTTTGAAAACGTCGGAGAAGTCTGGAGCGAGACTGGAGCTGGAACGCTGAGAGGAGAAAAAACCAGAGCTGAAGGACAGAGGGGGAGCTGGAGCAGGCTGACACCCGAAGAAGAGCTTCACCGAGCGGGAAAGAGACGAAGGACCGGGACCAGGACCAAGAGGAGGACCAGGAGGAGGAGGACCAGGACCAAGAGGAGGACCAGGAGGAGGAGGACCAGGACGAGGAGGAGGAGGCAGATGAGACAGAACCGACCTGGAGCACGACAAGTCACTCAGGTTTAAAGGACTCGAAGTCTGAAAATCAAACAAAGAGGGTTAAGAAAAAACAGGACTAAACCAGGACTAAAGGAAGACTAAACCAAGTCTAAAAGCGGACTAAACCAGGTCTAAACCAGGACTAATCCAGGACTGAACCAGGACTAATCTAGGACTAAACCAAGTCTAAAAGAGGACTAAACCAGGACTAAACCAGGACTACACCAGGACTAAACCAGGACTGAACCAGGACTAAAACAGGACTACACCAGGACTGAACCAGGACTAAACCAGGACTGAACCAGGACTAAACCATGACTGAACCAGGACTAAAACAGGGCTACACCAGGACTAAACCAGGACTGAACCAGAACTAAACCTGAACTAAACCAGGTCTAAACCAGGTCTAAACCAGGATTAAGACAGGACTAAACCAGGTCTAAACCAGGAATAAAAGAGGACTAAACCAGAACTAAAATAGAACTAAAACAGGTCTAAACCAGGTGTAAACCAGGACTAAACCAGGACTGAACCCATTCTTAACCCAGTCTAAACCGGTCTAAACCCGGTCTAAACCTGGTCTAAACCCGGTCTAAACAGGTGTTCTTTCGGACCAGTCTGGATGCAGGGTTGAGTGTTGTGGTGGTGAAAGTCGATTTCGTTGAGATTTTTGTTGGAAAACCACAAACAGCAGGAAACGTTTGTGTGACGTCGTCCATGAAACAGGAGAGCGCCCCCTGCTGGTCCACACGAGGACAACGCTGCACCGGAGACAAGCGGATACAGCACAGAGGATACCTGAAAACACACACACACACACACCTGAACACACAACCTGAACACACAACACAGAGGATACCTGAAAATACACACACAAACACACACCTGAACACACAACACAGAGGATACCTGAAAACACACACACACACACACACCTGAACACACAACCTGAACACACACAAACACACAAACACAACACAGAGGATACCTGAAAAACACACACACAAACACACCTGAACACACAACCTGAACACACACAAACACACAAACACAACACAGAGGATACCTGAAAACACACACACAAACACACCTGAACACACAACCTGAACACACAACACAGAGGATACCTGAAAATACACACACAAACACACCTGAACACACAACCAGAACACACAACACAGAGGATACCTGAAAACACACACACAAACACACCTGAAACACACAACCTGACACACACAACACAGAGGATACCTGAAAACACACACACAACACACCTGAACACACAACCTGACACACACAACACCTGAAACACACACACAACACACACAAACACACAACCTGAACACACACAAACACAACACAGAGGATACCTGAAAAACCACACACACACACACACCTGAACACACAACCTGAACACACAACACAGAGGATACCTGAAAACACACACACACACACACCCTGAACACACACCTGAACACACAACCTGAACACACACAAACACAACACAGAGGATACCTGAAAACACACACACAAACAACACCTGAACACACAACCTGAACACACACATAAACACACCTGAACACACAAACACACACTGAACACACACTAAACACACCTGACACACACACACACCTGAACACACACCTAAACACACCTGAACACACACAAAACACACCTGAAACACACACAAACAACACAAACACACAACACAGAGGATACCTGAAAATACACACACAAACACACACCTGAACACACACCTAAACACACCTGAACACACAACCTGAACACACACAAACACAACACAGAGGATACCTGAAAACACACACACACCTGAACACACACCTAAACACACCTGAACACACACAAACACAACACAGAGGATACCTGAAAACACACACACACTGAACACACCTAAACACACCTGAACACACACAAACACAACACAGAGGATACCTGAAAACACACACACAACACACAATCTAAACACACACCTGAACACACACAAACACACACCTGAACACACACAAACACACACCTGAACACACACACACCTGAACACACAACCTGGACAAACACCTGAACACACACACATACAACACAGAGGGTATCTGAAAATACACACACAAACACACACACCTAAAAACACACACCTAAAAACACACGCTGAACACACAACACAACACCTGAACACACACAAACACACACCCCGAACACAAACACACATACAAACACACAACCTGAACACACACACACAAACACACAACCTGAACACACACACATACAACACAGAGGGTATCTGAAAATACACACACAAACACACACACCTAAAAACACACACCTAAAACACACAAACACACACCCCGAACACAAACACACATACAAACACACAACCTGAACACACACAAACACACAAACAAACACACACAAACACACAACCTGAACACACACACTCACACACACAAACACACAACCTGAACACACACAAACACACAAACCTGAACACACACATAAACACACAACCTGAACACACACATTCAAACACACAATCTGAACACACACACAACACAGAGGATACCTGAAAATACACACACACACACACACTGAACACACAACCTGAACACACAAACACAACAACACAGAGGATACCTGAAAATACACACACACACACACCTGAACACACAACCTGAACACACAAACACAACACAGAGGATACCTGAAAATACACACACACACCTGAACACACAACACAGAGGATATCTGATAATACACACAAACACACAACCTGAACACACACACACACACACAAACACAACACAGAGGGTATCTGAAAACACACACACACACACACACAAACACACCTGAACACACAAACACACACACAGAGGACACGTACAGGTGAATGACACAAACACAAAGAGAGGAGAGAGGAGAGGAGATTATTACGTGAACAGATTTGGTCCCACGAGTTTGAAGTAGACGCTGCAGTAGACGAGCTGCTCCTCCTCTTGGTCTGGGAGTCTGTATCCGTACTGACACAAACAGAGGTACAAGTCACATCTGTGGAGAGGCCGTCACCAGTTCACATGTGTGTGTCTGGAGTTCTGCCTCAGAGTCGCTCAGTCCAGGGTTTTTCTTCCTGTGTTTCCAGTATCATCTTTTAAATCACCATTTTTATCGACTGCTCTTCCTTTAACTGGTTTTATCTTCAGTTTATTTCTGTTTTTATGTTTTCTGTGCCATTTTGATGTGTTTTGTTTTGTTCTTTGGTGTTTGTGCAGAACTTTGTAAACCTCATTTTTAAAAGCGCTTTATAAATACAGATTTATGATTGTATTTATAATTTTTACCAGTCTGTCCCAGTGGATCTGCAGCTCTCTGTAGGATTTAAACGGTCCGTCTGTGGGCAGTTTTCGGCTGATGGTGATGATCTGGCCTTTCTTCAGACTGAAAACACAAAAGGATTACGAGTACTTTCACAGTATTTCCAGAGTATTTTCAGAGTATTTCAGAGTATTTCCAGAGTATTTTCAGAGTATTTCTACAGTATTTCCAGAGTATTTTAAGAGTATTTCCAGAGTATTTCCAGAGTATTTTCAGAGTATTTCAGAGTATTTCCAGAGTATTTCCAGAGTATTTCAGAGTATTTAAGAGTATTTCCAGAGTATTTTAGAGTATTTAAAGAGTATGTCCAGAGTATTTTAAGAGTATTTTAAGAGTATTTTCATGTTTGTCTAATTCCTCCTGGGTTTGGTGGATGTTCCCTCTGGAACTGTTCTGGTTTGTTGCTTTGTCTGGAATGTTCCACAGTGTGGCATTAAACCTTTTTATCTTCTATCTATGGAGACAAAACCAAACCAAGTTCCAGGTCAGATCTGTGGAGAGGCGACCCCGCTCACAGTCAGAATGCAGTCTGTTTTTCTAGGTGTTTCTGAGCGCTAAAACCTCCTGTAACTGAATAAATGTAAAGTAGATGTGTTTAATGTCACACTCTGGAACATTCCAGCCAAAGACGTCTCCACAGAAACAAGCAGGTGAGAATTCCCCAACCAAAAAGTTACATAATGGAGCTTTAAGTGTCAGTTTGTAGGGAAAAGTTGAAAATAAATGCACAGAAATACAAGAAATAAAAAAAAACTCAAACTCTGAATACATCAAAGGTGTTTTTTGGTTAAATTATAAATATAACTGTGTTTTCTAACATTATTAAAGGGCCCAGCTCTCACTCGTCATCTGTTCCTTGTCACACACAGACCTGGAGTTGTGTTTTGTTTTCTAAATCCTCTCGCAAGGATCACAAACTGAACTGATAAATCTGAAAATCACGCACAAAAAATAAATCAGAAAAACCTGCAACTTAAAAAAACAGAAAACGATTCAAAGTGTGACTATGGCTCCATCTAGTGGCCACTGCGGGTATTACAAAAAGAGAGAGAGACAGGAGAGAGAGAAAGAGAGAATAAAAGAGAGAGAGTGAGATAATGAAAAAGAGAGAGAGAGAGAATAAAATAGAGAAAGAGAAAATAAAAGGCAGAGAGAGGAAGAGAGAGAATAAAAGAAAGAAAGAGTGAATATCTGGGCAGAATGTGATGGAGAGATGGAGGAGAGGAGAGATGGAGTGAGTACCTGGGCAGTACGTGGCACCAGACGGGTCCTCCTGTCTGATATGGATCTAACACTGAGTCCGGGTCAGAACAGAACCTCCTCAGAACCACAGGAGACAAACCAAAGTCCTCCAGCTGAACACACAAACACATAAAAACACATAAAAACAAAGAGTTGCTTTTTTCTTCAATAATTCACAAATACAAGTGTGGAGACGATAAAATAAGAGAAGTTTATCTTATGATCCTGTGTTGTATAATGTGAATGTTGTCTAAGTGTTGTTTGTCTTTTGTTTGTTTTATTTTCTTCTTTTCTTTTCTGTAAATGCTGTTTTTGTTCATGTATTTAGGACCCTCTTGTAAACGAGACGTAACATCTCAAGGAACTTCCCCTGTAAATAAATAAGTAAGTTTAGTGTGTAGTGTCAGTTGTGTTTACGGTGGTCGGGAGCAGTCTGATGGCGCTCGGCTGCACACTCATGCACAGTTTTCCTTCACTGCTGCTCAACTCCAAACCTGAAAAACAAACGAGAACAAAAATCAAAAGTTTGAATGTAATGTAGTTTATACATTAGACTACATGTCCCATAATCCTCTGCTCTGATGTTGTTTCCTGGAGTTGTGTTTTGTTTCATTCACATGTTTAACTCACAAACCTGCACATTTAACACGAGCTCTTCTCTCAAACTAAAAACACTCTGTTCCACCTCGTGATGTCATCATGTGGTGATACAGGAAGTGCTCCACTGTGTTTTTAAACTCCACACACCTTCACTAGAATCACCTGGATCTTTTTTTTTCAGTCGTGGAGTTGCTGATAATGACAGAACTAAAGGGAAAAGGAGCTGTTCACTTGATGACATCACAGGGTGTGGAGCAGTGCGTTGTGTGAATGAAACAAACACAACTGTGGGTCTGTTTCTGAGGAGGTTTTGTTGTGTAATGTGAGTGTGAGCAGCCACAGAGTTTCTTATCAGCTGAACACTCACTGACGGCTGTGAGCCTCCCCGTCTCCAACAGGAAGTCCCTCCCTGAAAAACAAACACGCCACATTTAGTCCTGGTTTAGACCTGGTTTAGTCCTGGTTTAGTTCTGATTTAGTCCTGGTTCGGTCCTGGCTTAGTCCTGGTTTAGTCCTGGTTTAGCTCTGATTTAGTCCTGGTTTAGTCCTTGTTTAGTCCTTATTCAGTCCTGGTTTATGTCCTGGTTTAGTCCTGGTTTAGTCCTGGCTTAGTCCTGGTTTAGTCCTGATTCAGTCGCGGTTTAAGTCCTGGTTTAGTCCTGGTTTAGCTCTGGTTCAGTCCTGGTTTAGTCCTGGTGTAGTCCTGGTGTAGTCCTGGTGTAGTCCTGGTGTAGTCCTGGTTAGTCCTGTAGTCCTGGTGGTAGTCCTGGTTAGTCCTGGTTCAGTCCTGGTTCAGTCCTGGTGTAGTCCTGGTGAAGTCCTGGTTTAGTCCTGGTTTAGTCCTGGTGTAGTCCTGTAGTCCTGTTAGTCCTGGTTTAGTCCTGGTTCTAGTCCTGGTGTAGTCCTGTAGTCCTGGTTAGTCCTGGTTCAGTCCTGGTTTAGTCCTGGTTTAGTCCTGGTGTAGTCCTGGTTCAGTCCTGGTGAAGTCCTGGTTTAGTCCTGGTGTAGTCCTGGTGTAGTCCTGGTAGTCCTGGTAGTCCTGTAGTCCTGGTGTAGTCCTGGTTCAGTCCTGGTGTAGTCCTGGTTTAGTCCTGGTGTAGTCCTGGTTCAGTCCTGGTCTAGTCCTGGTTTAGTCCTGGTGTAGTCCTGGTTTAGTCCTGGTTCTGTCCTGGTTCAGTCCTGGTGTAGTCCTGGTGTAGTCCTGGTTTAGTCCTGGTTCTGTCCTGGTTCAGTCCTGGTCTAGTCCTGGTGTAGTCCTGGTGTAGTCCTGGTTTAGTCCTGGTGTAGTCCTGGTGTAGTCCTGGTTTAGTCCTGGTTTAGTCCCTCACCGTTGATCAGGTAGAGTCCGGCCTTGTTCCAGTTTGGGGCGAGTCTGGAGACGAGGGAGAAGGAGACACAGACCTGAAGAGTCCCGGGAAAAACCGGCTCCACACGAATCATCTGGAAACACGAACACAAAAAACAAAAATAAAAACAAAAACACTTCAGATGAAACAGGCACTAAACATGATTATTATTACAGTTTTTATGATCATTAAAATCATTATTATGTGCATGTTTTACGTTGGTGGTGCCAGTGAAAAAATGAAGAACCCCATATTTACGGAAGCCGAGAGGGTCACAACAAACGCAAACGCCGCAACAAATACAAATGCCACAACACAAACGCAAAAGCCACAACAAACTAAAAAAAGCCACAACAGAAATGACTGTGGGACTCTATTTTAATACAAACGCCGCAACAAATACAAACACCACAACACAAACACAAATCCCACAACACATTAAAAAGCCACAACACATTAAAAAGCCGCAACGGAAGTGACAGTGGGACTCTATTTTCTGACAGACTGATCAAGCGGCAAGTGAAGAAGAAGAACTACAACATGAAACGAATAATGATAAAACAATAAATTACTTTTATTTACGTTTCCAACTTATCCGTTCCTTTACTTTTCACGTTATCGTTCTTCTTCTTCACTTGCCACTTGATCGGTCCGTCGGAAAATAGAGTCTCGCAGTCACTTCCGTTGTGGCTTTTAAATGTGTTGTGGCTTTTTAATGTGTTGTGGCTTTTTAATGTGTTGTGGCTTTTTAATGTGTTGTGGCATTTGCGTTTGTGTTGTGGCATTTGTATTTGTTGCGGCGATTGCGTTTGTTGTGACCCCTCTCGGCTTCAATAAATATTTAAAGAGTGTGAATATTCTGGAGCTTTCTACCACCCACACATGTCTGAGTAATCTAGAGATCTCTCCTGTGCCCTATTCAAACCCTCCTCATGTTTTCTTTTTATGTTTTAAAGATCTCGAGCTCTGGAATGAATGAATTATGCATTAAATTTAGTTTGTTTTCATTTATATTCCGTCTCTTACATTTACAGTGAGCCGTAAGTGAAATTATAAACTCAAACTTGTTGTTCATTCAGACGCTGCTTTTGTTTCTTGGAATTCTGTCGTTGTTTAATCGGGTTTGGGCATTAGGAGGACTTTGACTTCACTCATGATCTGGAGTCTGTGTTTAGTTTAGTTTTGTTTTGTAGTGCTGCAAAATGACACAATAAACTACTACTATAAAAAAAAATAGTGCTCTGAAGGGGGGAGGGATTTAACGCGAGGAGGGCGACAAAAACCAATGTGAAACTTATACAACACGTAAGTACATTGTTTTGGGATAATAGAACATTTTCCAAACAATATCCACGGAACACGGAGAACTAAATATACGACGTGTTACAGTTAAAACCCCAGAGAAGTCAGATCCTCCTCAGATCCTCCTGTTGAACCTGTGGGATCCTGCGGGGGTGCAGTGACAGTAGTGACCACACGGGGGCGTTACCTGAAGACAGTGTCTCTGGACGAAGCCCTGAAGAAGTCCAGAGCGAAAGAACTGGATCTGAACCAAAACACAAGAGACTTTAGAATGTAAATACTGTTTCATTTATAAGAGCATCTTAAGGGCTGGTTAAGTCCTGGTTTAGACCTGGTTTAATTCTGGTTTAGTCCTGGTTTAATTCTGGTTTAGTTCTGGTTTAGTCCTGGTTTAGTCCTGGTTTAATTCTGGTTTAATTCTGGTTTAGTCCTGGTTTAGTTCTGGTTTAGTCCTGGTTTAGTCCTGGTTTAGTCCTGGTTTAGACCTGGTTTAGACCTGGTTTAGTCCTGGTTTCGTCCTGGTTTAATTCTGGTTTAGTCCTGGTTTAGTTCTGGTTTAGTCCTGGTTTAGTTCTGGTTCAGTCCTGGTTTAATTCTGGTTTAGTCCTGGTTTAGTTCTGGTTTAGTCCTGGTTTAGTTCTGGTTTAGACCTGGTTTAGTCCTAGTTTAGTCCTGGTTTAGACCTGGTTTAGTCCTGGTTTAGTCCTGGTGTAGTCCTGGTTCAGTTCTGGTTTAGTCCTGGTTTAGTTCTGGTTTAGTCTTGGTTTAGTCCTGGTTTAGTCCTGGTTCAGTTCTAGTTTAGTCCTGGTTTAATTCTGGTTTAGTCCTGGTTTAGTTCTGGTTTAGTCCTGGTTTAGTTCTGGTTTAGACCTGGTTTAGTCCTAGTTTAGTCCTGGTTTAGTTCTGGTTTAGTCTTGGTTTAGTCCTGGTTTAGTCCTGGTTTAGTCCTGGTTTAGTCCTCCTCGTTCTGTTTCTGTCTATTGTTGTTTCGTACAATAACGGCTCATTCAGTTTTGGTTTCGAGGTCGTGACATGACACATATCTGACATTCCCAAACAGACAACTCCGCTTTAGTTTCCCGTCAGAACTGATTTGAGTCCTGGTTTAGTCCTGGTTTAGTTCTAGTGTAGTCTTGTTTACTTACAGCCATAACTGCAGTGATCTCTGTGAAGGAGTCTAAGGCTGGAGCTGCCAAAACATCGGAGAAAAGAAGAACCAACTCCCTGAAAAAAGAAACAGGACAAGGTCAGAGGAGCAGAGGAGCAGAGGAGCAGAGGAGGAGACGACAGGGTTAGAAGAACAGAGGGTCAGAAGTACAGAGTGTTAGATGGAGCAGAGGATACAGGAAAGTGGGTCAAAAGAGCAGACGGTGCAGACGGAAAAGTCAGAGAAATAGAGGAACAAAAGAGAAGAGCCGAACAGAGGGGCAGAGGAGCTGACATAAATGCAGAGGAGATGGTCAGAGAAGAAGACGAGCAGAACAGAAGGTCAGATGGAGCAGAAGATGTGGAGGAGTGGGTCAGAGAAGTAGCAGAGCAAAGGAGAAAAGCAGAGGAGAGGGTTGGAGGAGCAAAGGAGAAGAGCAGAGGACCAGGTCAGAGGAGCACAGGAACAGAGGAGTTTATCAGAGGGCCAGAGGAGCAGAACAGAAGGTCAGATGGAGCAGATGGTGCAGAGGAGAGGGTCAGAGGGTCAGGGGAGATGATCAGAGGGTCAGAGAAGCAGAACAGAAGGTCCGACGGAGCAGAGGAGATGGTTAAAGGGTCAAGGTAGATGGTCAGAGGGCCAGAGGAGATGGCCAGAGGATGAGGGGAGATGGTCAGAGGATCAGGGAGATGGTTAGAGGGTCAGGGAGATGGTCAGAGGGTCAGGGGAGATGGTCAGAAGAACGGAGAAGCAGAACAGAAGATCAGATGGAGCAGAGGAGATGGTCAGAGGATGAGGGGAGATGGTCAGAGGGTCAGATAGAACAGAGGAGAAGGTCAGAGGAGTTTTTCAGAAGGTCAGAGGAGCAGAACAGAAGGTCAGATGGAGCAGATGGTGCAGAGGAGAGGGTCAGATGACGCAGAGATGGTCAGAGGGTCAGGGGAGCAAAACAGAAGGTCAGATGGAGCAGAGGAGAAGGTCAGAGGGTCAGAGGAGATGGTCAGAGGGTCAGAGGAGCAGAACAGAAGGTCAGATGGAGCAGACGAGAAGGTCAGAGGGTCAGAGGAGAGTCAGAGGTCAGAGGAGCAGAACAGAAGGTCAGACGGAGCAGAGGAGAAGGTCAGAGGGTCAGAGGAGATGGTCAGAGGGTCAGAGGAGCAGAACAGAAGGTCAGACGGAGCAGAGGAGAAGGTCAGAGGGTCAGAGGAGATGGTCAGAGGGTCAGAGGAGCAGAACAGAAGGTCAGACGGAGCAGAGGAGAAGGTCAGAGGACACAGAGGAGACCTGCATGTTGTGATCTGTTTGGTTCGTGGCTCTTCGTAGTCGTCCTGCAGCTTCAGAGTGACACAGCACAGAGACTTCAGATCAGGCAGAGACACGAAGAACAGACTCGGCTGAACTCCACTCATCTTCACCCTCAGAAACCTTCAAAAACACCAAACATGATCAATTAACTATTATTATCACAATAACAAACATCTCAACAGCCTCTCGAAAGAAACCAAAACAAACAACAACTTTTTCAGAACACTTGATGAGATTTATTAAGTCAAAAGTACAAACCAACAACCAGTGTTGGGAAGGTGACTTTTCAAATGTAATCCCCTACAGATTACAGATTACATACACCAAAATGTAGTTTGTAAAGTAATCCATTAAATTACTTAAAGTGAGTAATGTAATCTGAATACTTTGGATTACTTGATTTTGTCATGTTTTTTAAAACTACATAAATGAAACAACCACATCCTGAAAATTCATGTTTGTTCTCTTCAAATTGGCCCTGGTTGAGACCTGGTTTAGTCCTGGTTTAGACCTAGTTTAGTCCTCATTTAGTCCTGGTTTACACCTGGTTTAGTCCTGGTTTTAGTCCTGGTTTAGACCTGGTTTAGTCCTGGTTTTAGTCCTGGTTTAGTCCTGGTTTTAGTCCTGGTTTAGACCTGGTATAGACCTGGTTTAGTCCTGGTTTAGACCTGGTTTAGACCTGGTTTAGTCCTGGTTTAGACTTAGTTTAGTCCTGGTTTAGACCTGGTTTAGTCCTGGTTTAGACTTAGTTCAGCCCAACATGTGAAAACAGTTAAATCCCTCTGTGTAATCCATTTATTTCAACAAAGTAACTGTAATCTAATTACCACTCAGTAACAGTAACTGTAACTGAATACAGTTACTCATCATTTGTACTCTGATTACTTAACTCCGGTACATGTAATCTGTTACTTCCCAACACTGACAACAAACTAGCAGGACATAACGTTAACTAAACTAAACTAAATTACTAATAAACTACATTAAAACGACTGTTCATTTGTTTAAATAACTACACTGAAAGACACTTTGATACATTAATAGTTCAGAAAGACTTAACTGTACTTACACGGTGTTATTTTTAATCTTAAATAAACAATTTAAGAATATAAATTTGTGACTTACCTTTCCGTGTTTTGTTTCAGAGCGGCTAACCTGATGCTAACGAGCGGCTAATGCTAACGAAAAGCTAATGCTAATGCTAACGAGAAGCTAAAGTGCTAATCAATAAACTGATTTTATTCAGGTTTTTGATCGAAATATTGTTCACTTTTCGTATCGATATTTACAAGAAAACTCATAAAATCGTCGTTTCTTTTGGTAATTGTCTTCACTGAGGCTAAAAATACAAAATAATAATAATTGCTCAAGCTAACATCTCCGAGGGTGGGACGAACGCGAAGCTAATGCTAACGAGAAGCTAAATTGCTAAGTTAATAAACAGATTTTATTCAGGTTTTTAATCGAAATATTGTTCACTTTTTGTACCGATATTTACAAGAAAACGTACAAAATCGACGTTTCTTTTGGTAATTCTCTTCAGTGAGGCTAAAAATACAAAATAATCTTGCTCAAGCTAACGTCTGCGAGCCGCCCGGATGTATCAGTAATGATCAGTTTTCACAATTTGTCTTTTTATTTAGTTTTATTTCTCATTTAAACATTATAATGTGGTGTGGTATTAGTTTATTTGTACAGGGGCAGTGCACAACAATCATTAACCTAAAGACTAGACCAGATTTTCAGAATTAAAAACTGGGACACACTCGGTTTGGGATGTTTTGGTATAAAAAAAATGAATAAATTATTAAAATATTGTGTATTCTCATGACAGTCCTGATGTGAGGGACAACTGTCTCTGCATTTTGTGGCTTTATGGTCATTTGCAAACAGGGATTTGTGTATTTTGGCCAAACAAATGACACTTTATTCTCTTCAGATTAGTCAAACATTGTGATAGTTCTGTTTTAGTCCTGGTTTAGTCTTAGTCCTTGTTTAGTCCTGGTTTAGTCAGTCTTAGTTTAGACCTGGTTTAGTCTTAGTTTAGACCTGGTTTAGTCTTAGTTTAGTCCTGGTTCAGTCTTAGTTTAGTCCTGGTTTAGTCCTGGTTTAGTCTTAGTTTAGACCTGGTTTAGTCTTAGTTTAGTCCTGGTTCAGTCTTTAGTCCTGGTTTAGTCTAGTCTAGTTTAGTCTGTTTAGTCTTAGTTTAGTCCTGGTTAGTCTTAGTTTAGTCCTTGTTTAGACCTGGTTTAGTCTTAGTTTAGTCCTGGTTTAGTCTTAGTTTAGTCCTGGTCTAGTTTAGACCTGGTTTAGTCTTAGTTTAGTCCTGTTTAGTCTTAGTTTAGTCCTGGTTTAGTCTTAGTTTAGTCCTTAGTTTAGTCCTGGTTTAGTCTTAGTTTAGTCCTGGTTTAGTCTTAGTTTAGTCTTAGTTTAGTCCTGGTTTAGTCTTAGTTTAGTCCTGGTTTAGTCCTGGTTTAGTCTTAGTTTAGTCCTGGTTCAGTCTTAGTTTAGTCCTGGTTTAGTCTTAGTTTAGTCCTGGTTTAGTCTTAGTTTAGTCCTGGTTTAGTCTTAGTTTAGTCCTGGTTTAGTCTTAGTTTAGTCCTGGTTTAGTCTTAGTTTAGTCCTGGTTTAGTCTTAGTTTAGTCCTTAGTTTAGTCTTAGTTTAGTCCTGGTTTAGTCTTAGTTTAGTCCTGGTTTAGTCTTAGTTTAGTCCTGGTTTAGTCTTAGTTTAGACCTGGTTTAGTCTTAGTTTAGTCCTGGTTCAGTCTTAGTTTAGTCCTGGTTTAGTCTTAGTTTAGTCCTGGTTTAGTCTTAGTTTAGTCCTGGTTTAGTCTTAGTTTAGACCTGGTTTAGTCTTAGTTTAGTCCTGGTTCAGTCTTAGTTTAGTCCTGGTTTAGTCTTAGTTTAGTCCTTGTTTAGACCTGGTTTAGTCTTAGTTTAGTCCTGGTTCAGTCTTAGTTTAGTCCTTGTTTAGACCTGGTTTAGTCTTAGTTTAGTCCTGGTTCAGTCTTAGTTTAGTCCTGGTTCAGTCTTAGTTTAGTCCTGGTTTAGTCTTAGTTTAGTCCTGGTTTAGTCTTAGTTTAGTCCTGGTTTAGTCTTAGTTTAGTCCTGGTTTAGTCTTAGTTTAGTCCTGGTTTAGTCTTAGTTTAGTCCTTAGTTTAGTCCTGTTAGTTTAGTCTTAGTTTAGTCCTGTTAGTTTAGTCTTAGTTTAGTCCTTAGTTTAGTGGTTTAGTCTTAGTTTAGTCCTGGTTTAGTCTTAGTTTAGTCCTGGTTCAGTCTTAGTTTAGTCCTTGTTTAGATCTGGTTTTAGTCTTAGTTTAGTCCTGGTTTAGTCCTGGTTTAGTCTTAGTTTAGTCCTGGTTTAGTCCTGGTTTAGTCTTAGTTTAGTCTTAACCCTGTTTCATTTTGATGCTAAACTTTGTTAAAGTGACCAGTCGTCCCTGTTTCCCTGGGACAGTCCCAGTTCTGACCCTGTGTCTCTGTCCCACAGATTTATACAAAACCACTGATTTGTCCCACAGTTTTATACAAGAAATGTCCCAGTGTCTCTGTGTTTCTGATCCTGCAACAGTAAAGAGAAACATAAACTGACATTTGTTTAATTAAAATATAGAAAATCTGATTAAAAAACAAAACGACAAAACACAAAGAAAATGTGACTGTACTGACTCAAGCGCAGAACAGTTTCCCTCGTTTAACAGTTTCATTATTAACAACCACCACAAACCAGGAATGTCCCAGTTTTTATTTTGAAAATCGCCTCCTTTTCACACAAAATAAAACATTTCTAACACTTTAAAACGGTTCCAACGACACTTCGAAGCAATTTATTTACGTGACATACACAATATTAAATACTTGTCCATTAACACAAAGGACAGTTCATGCTTCACACTTTTTTAACACATCATATTTCACATTTCTTTTAAACACTAGAACAGTTTTTGAAGCTCTGATTTTTTTATTCTTTATCTCTTTATGAGCTCAAACCTCTGACTCAAACACATTTCACCAGTGCTGTTGGTCTGAACCTGTTTTTATTTATTTATTTTCAATTCCTTTCAAATGATAATAACTTCCTGTTTTTGCAAATTGACTTTAAATGAATTAAACATTGACATTGTTCAAATATTATTCTAAAAACACTGAGCCAAAAACATTCTTTAACTCCTCCACTCCCAGCAACAAAACAAAAACACTCAGTGTGTTTATAAGTTTAACAAGACTTTATCTGGAATAAAAACAGAATAAAAATGTGATGAATAAGTTTGAAACACTCAGGACAAATACATAATCTTTGCTTTTATTGTGGTTTAGAGGTGAAGGTTCAGCAGGGAGTGGAGCAAAGGACAGAGACGTGAGTTTAGCGACTTTCCCGAACTTTCCTCTCGTTCTTCCCGGATAAACCCGTTTGGGAGCCACAGTGGGGCAGATCACGGACACCCACGGGCCGTGACAGTGCGTGACAGTGCGTGATAAACCGTGATAAACGCTCGTGGCTCGCGTGAGAAGCTCGTTTCCCGTGGACTGACGTGAACTCTGCGCTGAGTGACGACACCGCGGACCAATCAGAAGCCACGAACAGAAAAATGGACCAATGAGAGAGCGGGAGAGGCGGAGGGGGCGGGCGCTGCGGCTCAGTGATACAGATGTGCGGTTTGGAGGATTTTAGACAAAGTCAAAAGGAAAGTGTCACAATAAAAGTACAAAAGTCACTCGTGAAAGAGCTCGAGTCTCATCCTCCAAACTTCTGGGCCTCATCATCAGAGAGAGCAGAAACATTTATAAAAAGAATAAATCTCTTGGTATTATAAGAAAAGTTTGTACGTTTCTGGACTCAAAATATAAACTTACATTTTAATAAAGTTTAATTTTTCTCCTTCTGTCAGATTGTAATAACGTCTGAGCTGCACTTTGCCAACTTAAATATATTATATTAAATAAATATATTTAATATACAACAAAATATTATTGGTGCAAAAATGTTTTCATCAAACTGAACATTCTTAATATTTATGAGATTAATATTTATCACATTTGTTTTTTTATGTATAAAATTCTTTATAATTCGACTACGACCCCTGAACATTTCACATTTTACTTTAAAACCAGATTTATGGACACAAAACTCCTCAGAATTGTGATTTTGGTCCAAAATGTGTCACATGCAGAGTTCAGTTCAGTTTTGCTTCAATCCAGAGGCAGAAATTCTGGAGCAGTTTTCACATTTACAGTGGTGCTGAAGTCAAGACCAAGACCAAGACCAGGCCAAGACCACAGGGTCCAGAGACAAGACCAAGACCTCTGAGGGTCAAGACCAAGACCAAGACCACGGCCCATCAAGACCGAATCCAGACCATCTTTGTCATTTTTGACATTTATTTGTATGTTACAGTTATTTTGGCTCATTTATATAAATTTAAAAAAATAAATGTATCTCCATTTATCACTCGTCGAGTGTCAGACCTTCAGACCGAGACCAAGACCGAGTCCAAGCCCCTTCAAGACCAGAGACCGAGTCCAAGCCCCTTCAAGACCGAGACCAAGACCGAGTCTGAGACGAGACCAAGACTGTAAAAAAACAGCTTTAATATTCTGCCCTTTGGGGTTTTTTGCCTTTTCCTGCTCCTACTTTTTTATCTAGTGCATTTTTTTTATTGTTATATGTCATACTTGTGCAAAATAAATAAATAAAAATAAATAAATTCTTGTCCTGAAGAACATGGAGCCTCAGACTGAAGCTTTCTAAAAATGACATTTTTTGTGAAGTTTTAAAGTATCACGTCTTAATCCCGTCTGTGTCGCCTCAGAACGGCTGAGTTCAGTAACAATAAACTTCAGAGATTTAAAAACAGCAGGAAAAACACTTCTCTGGATATTTACATGAGACATACTTTGGTTTTACACTGTGATTTTATGACGGTTTAAAAAAATAAAACACAAACCAGGACACGTGACAAAAGAGTTCATAATTAATTGAAAATGAAGTTAGAGATTTATTGATGTTTTGGATGGTGAGTGAGAAGAACACAGGTCAGTTCAGTTAACGACAGGAACAAGAAACTAAACAACTGAACACATTTAAACATCATTTAATCACAAGTTTAAAACTCCGACATCACACAAAACTCTACAAACTCTGCACTTCTGAACAGGACTGAACAGGCTCAGGGTTTATTTTTTTATCACGTTTATCACAAAAACATCTTTTAAAAATACAAATAAAAACAGCGAGAAAAAAACTTACAGTTGAGTTTTTTTCTGCTGAACCAAATTCAGCCCAAATCTGCATCAAAATCACCAAACCTGAAGTTTTAATAGATCAAATACTTTTACTTTTTACTCTTTCAGTTTTCATTTAAACTTGACTTAAATACTCAGACTTCGACAGCAAAAATAAAACAGACTCTCACAGAGTCACTTTGAACATTTTCTCAGTGTTTCTCTGAGTCACTCTGTTCTAGAGTTAATTTAACATTTTTAAATGTTCATGAAGTAAAACTGGACCAAAGTTTCTGTTTAACCTCAAATCCAGAGTTAAATGAAGGTTTAGAGAGTAAACAGATAACACTTTGTAGAGTTATCCTGATTTAACTCAACAACACACAGAGGAGTTTTATTTTTACTCTTTATTTGAGTTAATTTAAAATGAAATTCAGAACAAAACTGGTTCAGACTGGTTCTTCTCTGGAGGGAGTTTGAAGTGGAGGAGACAAATTAACACTAAGGGAGTTGAATTCACTTCAGTCGTATCATCCATCCATTTTCTTGGGCTTATCTCGGGCCGGGGTCACACGGGCAAACGTCAAGTTCAATCATATCAGACCTGATAAATAACCCCAACTCAAACACACAGTTCACTTTCAAAGAGTTAATCTTAGAGTTAAAACTTTTTGTGTTAAAAAAAAACTGAAATATTTTATGATAAAATTTGAACCCTCCAGTTTTTGCTGTGTCATTCACACATCACAATATAAAATAATAACAAAGTATAAAGTAAAAATATAAATGTTGATAATAAATTGAAAATAAGTCAAAGGAGGAGTCAAATAAACAGAATTATATAAATGTTTATGTAAAACTTTTACTTACTTTATACTTTTTTAAACTTTACTTTTTTTCTCCCCATGTGATACTCTAACCATTACGTTTACAAGTTGAGCCCTTGTTCTCCCGCTGTACGTGCGCTGGGCTCACCTGTCTCACCTGTCTCACCTGTCAGACCCGTCTCACCTGTCCGTCTCACCTGTCCGCGCTCTTATTGTGACAGTCCGCGGCGGAAGTGAGCGCACGCACACGCGCTCACCTTGACGCGGGTGACGCTCGGGGCCGTGCCGGAGCGGACTGGGGTAAATGTCGGACGCTCGTGCACAGTCACGGTCCTGAAGCTCCAGACGGACAGCGGCCCCTCCGAGCGCGCGCAGCCGGACTCACAGCGTCACACATGGGCGAGAAGCAGCAGAGCGGCCCCGGGGAGCCCCGGTACTACCGCCTCTCCGAGATCGAGGAACAAAACTCCTTCAAGTCAACGTGGGTCATCATCCACAACAAAGTCTACGATGTCACCAAGTTTCTCGAAGAGGTGAGGCTCACGTGACCTTTGACCCGCTCAAACTCTCAGAAACTCAGAAACCAACAGTCGGACACTTCCGGGAAACATGTCAACACTTTTACTCCACATTTCAACACTTTTACTCTGAGCGACGTGACACGAACAAGTAACGCAGGAAAAATACTAAACTGAAACAGGACCTTTTATTGTCCCGTTATAGTCCTTGATTAGACCTGGTTTAGATCTGGTTCAGATCTAGTTTAGTCCTGATCTAGTCCTGGCTTAGTCATGGTCTAGTCCTGGTTTAGTTCTGTTATAGTCCTGGTTTAGTTCTGTTATAGTCCTGGTTTAGTTCTGTTATAGTCCTGGTTCAGTCCTGGTTTAGTTCTGTTGCTTTGGTTGTCCTCATGTAACCCTTAACAGTGTTTTCATGGATCAGCATGGAACCTACCAGGACTAAACCAGGACTAACCAGGACTAACCAGGACTAAACCAGGACTGAACCAGGACTAAACCAGGACTGAACCAGACTAACCAGACTAAACCAGGACTAAACCAGGACTAAACCAGGACTAAACCAGGACTAAAACCAGGACTAACCAGGACTGAACCAGGACTGAACCAGGACTGAACTAAACCAGGACTGAAACCAGACTGAACCAGGACTGAACCAGGACTGAACCAGGACTAAACCAGGACTAAACCAGGACTAAACCAGGACTAAACCTGGACTAAACCTGGACTAAACCAGGACTAAACCAGGACTGAACAGATATAAGGACACGTGGGATTAGAAAAGAAAGTTGTGCCGTTTAATGTGAACATCACAGGAGATTGTTTATGATCCTGGGATCAGAATCAGTATCAAGTATCGAGTCTGGAGTCTGTTTAAGTATTGAGTCTGTTTGAGTATCGAGTATTGAGTATTGACTCCTCGTGGTCTCTGTGTCAGTGCAGCTGAGTGTTTGTGTGGCTCCTGTGGCTCCTGTGGCTCCTGTGGCTCTTTTATTCACAGTTTATATAAATGGTCGTGTGTGAGGCTCTAGCTGCTGCTGTGTTCCAAACAGGAAGTGCTCCAGGTGGCTCTTCTGGCTCCTTCTGACTCTGGCTCTTTCATCAGAAACAGAAACAGCCGAGCCACAGTGTTTCTGTTGCTGCAGTTTTGGCCTCCCTCACTGAGCTTCGTTTGACTGGACTGTGGCGTCTCAGAGTTAAAACTCTGGAGTCTTTGTGTGTGGGTTAAATGTTTATCACACTCAGACCTTTGATCAAACTGGGAGAGACACTGGGCACAAGTTCACCACTCCTCACCTACTCACCTGCTCCTGCCACCAGAGCGCCTGCCAGGGCACCTGCCAGGGCACCTGCCAGGGCACCTGCCAGGGCACCTGCCAGAGCGCACCTGCCAGGGCACCTGCCAGAGCACCTGCCAGGGCACCTGCCAGAGGCACCTGCCAGGGCACCTGCCAGAGCTCAGGGCACCTGCCAGAGCGCCTGCCAGAGCACCTGCCAGAGCTCAGGGCACCTGCCAGGGCACCTGCCAGCTCAGGGCACCTGCCAGGGCACCTGCCAGAGCTCAGGGCACCTGCCAGAGCTCAGGGCACCTGCCAGAGCGCCTGCCAGAGCACCTACCAGGGCACCTGCCAGCTCAGGGCACCTGCCGGAGCTCAGGGCACCTGCCAGGGCACCTGCCGGAGCTCAGGTGTGTCACATTTGGATGTTGTTTTGTGTCGTGTTGTGTTGATCTGCTGTGAGTTTGTGATGTTCTGCTGTGAGTTTGTGATGTTCTGCTGTGAGTCTGTGATGTTCTGCTGTGAGTCTGGATGTTCTGCTGTGAGTTGTGATGTTCTGCTGTGAGTCTGTGATGTTCTGCTGTGAGTTTGTGATGTTCTGCTGTGAGTTTGTGATGTTCTGCTGTGAGTTTGTGATGTTCTGCTGTGAGTTTGTGATGTTCTGCTGTGAGTTTGTGATGTTCTGCTGTGAGCTGTGATGTTCTGCTGTGAGTTTGTGATGTTCTGCTGTGAGTCTGTGATGTTCTGCTGTGAGTTTGTGATGTTCTGCTGTGAGTTTGTGATGTTCTGCTGTGAGTTCTGTGATGTTCTGCTGTGAGTTTGTGATGTGCAGATCTTGACACACGTGAAAACGAGGGAAGTTTTAGTTCAGTTTTGTTGGTTCAATTAAATGTTGAAAAGAAAAAGAAATGTTTAATATTTAAAGTCCAAACAGGAAACTTCTGGATCAACTTGAGTAAAACTCATTATTCACTCAACAACAATAAAATCTCCTCATGAATATTGGGTAAAGTTCAAATCAACTTTAAAGTCTGTGAAGGTTTGTGACTTTTCCTTTGTGGATCCACAGTTAAAGGTTTGTGAAAGTTTGTGGGTCACATGATCACAACATTTACACAAAGAAATCAACTTTATTTAATTTAGCAGCAAAACTTTTCAAACTCTGCATTAAAATGAACGAGATCCTTGTTTAACAGAAGAACAGCACCAGAGGGCGAAACTGATACTGATACACTGATACTGATACTGATATACTGATACTACTGATATACTGATACTGATACTACTGATACTGATACTGATACTACTGATACTGATACTGATACTACTGATACTACTGATACTACTGATACTACTGATACTACTGATACTACTGATACTACTGATACTACTGATACTACTGATACTGATACTACTGATACTACTGATACTACTGATACTGATACTACTGATACTACTGACTACTGATACTACTGATACTACTGATACTACTGATACTACTGATACTACTACTACTGATACTACTGATACTACTGATACTACTGATACTACTGATACTACTGATACTACTGATACTACTGATACTACTGATACTGATACTACTACTGATACTACTATACTGATACTACTGATACTACTGATACTACTGATACTGATACTGATACTGATACTGATACTACTGATACTGATACTACTGATACTACTGATACTACTGATACTACTGATACTACTGATACTACTGATACTACTGATACTACTGATACTACTGATACTACTGATACTACTGATACTACTGATACTACTGATACTACTGATACTGATACTACTGATACTGATACTGACTACTGATACTACTGATACTACTGATACTACTGATACTGATACTACTGATACTACTGATACTACTGATACTACTGATACTACTGATACTACTGATACTACTGATACTACTGATACTACTGATACTACTGATACTGATACTGATACTGATACTACTGATACTGATACTACTGATACTACTGATACTACTGATACTACTGATACTACTGATACTACTGATACTACTGATACTACTGATACTGATACTGATACTGATACTGATACTACTGATACTACTGATACTACTGATACTACTGATACTGATACTAATACTGATACTACTGATACTGATACTGATACTGATACTACTGATACTACTACTGATACTGATACTACTGATACTACTGACTACTACTGATACTACTGATACTACTGATACTACTGATACTACTGATACTGATACTACTGATACTACTGATACTACTGATACTACTGATACTACTGATACTACTGATACTACTGATACTACTGATACTACTGATACTGATACTACTGATACTGATACTACTGATACTGATACTACTGATACTACTGATACTGATACTACTGATACTGATATACTGATACTACTGATACTGATACTGATACTACTGATACTACTGATACTACTGATACTACTGATACTACTGATACTACTGATACTACTGATACTACTGATACTAATACTACTGATACTGATACTACTGATACTACTGATACTACTGATACTACTGATACTACTGATACTACTGATACTACTGATACTGATACTACTGATACTACTGATACTACTGATACTACTGATACTACTGATACTGATACTACTGATACTACTGATACTACTGATACTACTGATACTGATACTACTGATATACTACTGATACTACTGATACTACTGATACTGATACTACTGATACTACTGATACTGATACTACTGATACTATATACTACTGATACTGATACTACTGATACTGATACTACTGATACTACTGATACTACTGATACTACTGATATACTACTGATACTACTGATACTACTGATACTAATACTACTGATACTGATACTACTAATACTACTGATACTGATACTACTGATACTACTGACTACTAATACTACTACTACTACTACTACTACTACTACTACTACTACTACTACTACTACTACTACTACTACTACTACTACTACTACTACTACTAGTACTACTACTAGATCCTTGTACCACATGAGTCCATTTTTAGACTCTGTCAGTTTAAGTTCGAGCTGCAGATGAAAGTGTGTTTTGTTTTTTTGTTTTTTTCTCTCGGTTCAAGGACAAAGTGAATCATCCACAATTTAACTCAACTTTCTACAAACAAACCAACAAAACATGACTTTAAACCACCAACCACCAGACCTGGTTTAGTCCTGGTTCAGTCCTGGTTCAGTCCTGGTTCAGTCCTGGTTTAGACCTGGTTCAGTCCTGGTTCAGACCTGGTTCAGTCCTGGTTCAGTCCTGGTTCAGTCCTGGTTCAGTCCTGGTTTAGACCTGGTTCAGTCCTGGTTCAGTCCTGGTTTCAGTCCTGGTTCAGTCCTGGTTCAGTCCTGGTTTAGACCTGGTTTAGTCCTGGTTCAGTCCTGGTTCAGTCCTGGTTCAGTCCTGGTTCAGTCCTGGTTTAGTCCTGGTTTAGTCCTGGTTTAGTTCTGTAGTTTCTGTGTTCTTGCTGTTGCCCTTGTGCCCTTGAGCCAGCGTCCTTCACTCTTTAAACTCAGCTCCAACTTTATGAACAAACTCCCCCCCCCATCCCCCCGTGTGTGTCAGGTCCCTCCCTGTGTGTGTCAGGTCCCTCCCCGTGTTGTGTCCCCCCGTGTGTGTCAGGTCCCTCCCGTGTGTGTGTCCGTCCCTCCCCGTGTGTGTCAGGTCCCTCCCCGTGTGTGTGTCCTCCCCTGGTCCCTCCCCGTGTGTGTCCCTCCCCTGTGTCAGGTCCCTCCCCGTGTGTGTCAGGTCCCTCCCCGTGTGTGTCAGGTCGTGTCAGGTCGTGTCAGGTCGTGTCAGGTTGTGTCAGGTTGTGTCAGATGCCCTCCCGTCGCGCCGGTGTTGACTGAGGTGCGTTTGTTTGCAGCACCCCGGGGGGGAGGAGGTGCTGAGGGAGCAGGCGGGTGGAGACGCCACCGAGAGCTTCGAGGACGTGGGACACTCGACCGACGCCCGCGAGATGGCCAAAGACATGATCATCGGAGAACTGCACCCGGTGAGACCCAGACCGGTCCTGGACTAGATCTGAGTTAGACCTGCTGGTCCTGGTTTAGACCTGGTTTAGTCCTGGTTTAGTTCTGTGTTGGTTTCATTTCCTCCTGTGAGACTTTTTGTGTTTGTTTGTTTCCAGGACGACAGGGAGAAGCTCGCCAAACCTGCGGTGAGTCCAGACCTCAGACGCCGTTTATATAAATGATCCTCGCTGTCCCCGGCCCGAGCTCGAGTCCCCGGCCCGAGCTCGAGTCCCCGGCCCGAGCTCGAGTCCCCGGCCCGAGCTCGAGTCCCGTCTCTGTCTGAGCATGTGCAGTAGAGTCTTTTCTCCCGTGGGTGCACGCCAACGCACGACAGCGTGCACGAGAGCGCGGGCTCGAGTCACATGATCAGTTTAACCAATCAGAGCGAGAGGAGCCGAGCCAACGATTAAAAATCGTTTTTAAGTTTTTAAGACGACTGAAGGATTTGGAGCTGAGAAAAAGTTTAGGATCTGAAAATAGGTCAAAATCACCACAGAATATTTAAAAACTATAGGTGCCCTGTCAGCCCCTGTCAGCCCCTGTCAGCCCCTGTCAGCCCCTGTCAGCCCCTGTCAGCCCCTGTCAGCAGTTGTTGGAGACAGAAACAAACATGAGCAGCTCCACAGGCTCCACGGACTCTGGCTCCGGTTCAGTTTGTGTGTAAAAAGTGTGGCTCCTCTCTGACCTTTGACCTTTGACCCCCTCTACATGACCCTGGAGTTTGGGCTTCAACATTTTGTCCCAAATCCAGATCTGAACATGAAGAACAGACCAATCAGACGCCTTCTTTCCCCGAGGCCCCTCCCACTAGTGTTAGCAACAGGTTTGATTGACAGCGTCGCTAAGCCCCGCCCCCTCTGCCTCTAGAATCCTCCACAGATGCATTTTGGGAATTGAACCTGTTCGTGTTGTTCAGGCGTCCGGTTTCACAAAGATCGAGTTTTGTACGATTCTTTTTTATTTTCACGACATAAACTTTGTCAAATGTTTAAATCCTCGAGGCTCGTGAAGTGTCAGACTGAGGCCGGACGCTCCACGCCGCTCGTTATAGACGCCGCTCGTTCCAGACGCCGCTCGTTACAGTCGCCGCTCGTTACAGACGCCGCTCGTTACAGACGCCGCTCGTTACAGACGCCGCTCGTTACAGACGCCGCTCGTTACAGACGCCGCTCGTTACAGACGCCGCTCGTTCCAGACGCCGCTCGTTCCAGACGCCGCTCGTTACAGACGCCGCTCGTTACAGTCGCCGCTCGTTACAGACGCCGCTCGTTACAGACGCCGCTCGTTACAGACGCCGCTCGGTGGGAGGAGCTCCACCACATTCAGGAAATAAATGTGGAAGTGAAAAATATTTTTGGCCTGTTTCACTTTAAACTGTTTTTCTGTTTCAGGATTCACTGGTGACGACTCTGCACGACGAGCCCAGGTACAGCTGCACCTGACCCCGCACACACACACACACACCTGACCCCGCCCACACACACACACACACACACACCTGACCCCGCCACACACACACACACACACACCTGACCCCGCCCACACACACACACACACACACACCTGACCCCGCCCACACACACACACACACACACACACCTGACCCCGCCCACACACACACACACACACACACACACACCACCCCGCACACACACACACACCTGACCCGCCCACACACACACACACACACCAGACCCCGCCCACACACACCTGACCCGCCCACACACACACAACACACCTGACCCGCCCACACACACACACACACACACCTGACCCCGCCACACACACACACACACACCTGACCCCGCACCACACACACACACACACACCTGACCCGCCACCACACACACACACACACACACCTGACCCCGCACCACACACACACACACACACACACCTGACCCGCCCACACACACACACACACACACCTGACCCCGCCCACACACACACACACCTGACCCCGCCCACACACACCTGACCCCGCACACACACACACACTCACACCTGACCCCGCCCACAAACATGA